TTTATTTTTAGGAAGGAGAAGAAGAGGCCATTTATTCTAATAGAATTTTTAATTCATAAATCAAATTATTGTTTAGAATGATGAAAAATAATCAAAGAAAAAAAAAAGAAGTCATCAATACAAATATAAAGAAAAAGAAAATTTCTGGAAAAAATTTTATTAGCGATTAAGTTGCCTTGTTTATGATTTTAAAAAACAAAACAAATCTATTTTTTATTTTCATAGATACCGATGAAGAAGAACCTGAACAAGATTTTGTTAAATAAACAGATATTCATAATACAACAACAACTGATATCTATCAAGTTGAAAGATCAAAATTTTCAACAGCTGAAGAGTTTGTTTGGCTTTTTATTTTAAACAAATTTTATCTCATCTATTTGTAAAGTGATATGGATACAATTGAAATGAAAAAAGTATTTATAAGAATGTTATAGTCCAAGAGAAGGACGTCGTGAATATGAAGAAGAAGATCAAATCCCCGATTAAATAACTCAACAGAGTTTATTACCTAATGTTAAATCACCAAATCTTTGGCCTGTTAAAGGTCGAATTGGAGAAGAAAAACAAACGGCTTTATTATTAATGAGAAAAAAACCTTGCTTTAGAAAATAATGAAAAAGTAAAAAATTGCAAAGAATTATTTATTTGATTTTATTTTCTTTAAAAAAGGTATTTCAAATCAAGTCAATTGTTGTAAAAGAAAATGATCGTGGTTATATTTATATTGAAGAATTTAAATAAAATCATGTTGAAGCAGTATGTGAAGATATTCGATCATTAAATTTATGAAATCTTCAAATGGTACCAATTAAAGAAATGACGGATATTCTTCGTGTTGTTAAAACAACATATGGAATAAAAAAGGGTTCCTGGATTCGTATTAAACATGGAAGTTATCGAGATTATTTAGCCAATATTGAACATTGTGATATGGTACAAAATCTGGTTACACTTAAATTAATTCTACTAATTGATTATATGAAAAAAACGAGGTGAATAACATGGGACATCAAATGATCAATCGGATATTGTTCCTGAATCACATCAAACATTTAAGAAAAAAAATCGCTTTGCTTTTAAAAAAAACATTGGCGAAATTATTTTGCTGAAACAGCTGTTCGAGTAAGGATTTTAATTATAATTTATTGGAGAAAACTTGTTTCTTTTGTTGAGTTGCAGGTGGACAAATCAAAAGAGATTATGAATATTAAATATTTGAAGGTGGAAAATTTGATGAAAAAGGATTTCTTTATAAAAATTTTACACTTCAAACTATTGTAAGTTATTAAATGGATTTTTTTAAAATAATCGAGTGTTGAATCAATTTCCTATTGTAATCGGCTGATGATATAATTCCAAGGATAAGTAAATTAGATAAATTTGAATAAACAATTGATGGACCAGAAAGCAATCGTAATTTTTAATCGAATTGTTTTATTTAAAATAAATTGTTTTTTTTACAATTTACTTGCAATTAATAAAACAAAAACATTGAAAAATGATGTATTATCATTTGCACCAGGTGATCAAGTTGAAGTATGTGAAGATGAATTAATTAATTTACAAGGTACTATTTTTGGAATTGATGGAGATTCAATTCGAATCTTAGCAAAACATGAAGCTTCAAAAGATGAAATTGCATTTAAAGAAAATATTTTTCTGTTGGTAATCATGTTAAAGTTTTAAATGGAAGATATGAAGGTGAAACTGGTATGATTGGTGGAAATGATGGAACGCGAAAGCAATTGCTTTAAATGATGGAATCAAAGATGAAGTTTGTAGATAAATTTATTTATATAATTTACCTGTTTTTTTCTTATTCTAATGCATAGATGTCTGTTCGAATATCAGATCTTCAAATTTATACAGAAACAGCAACAGGTGTTGATTCAACTGGACAATTTCAACTTAAAGATTTAGTTAATATTTCGTATGTTTTTTTTTTTTATTATAAAATTTCTTTTACATGTTTATTTTTCTATATAGAGCGGATAAAGTTGGTGTTGTTATATGTATAGAAAAAGAATGTTTACATAGATTAAATATGGATGGAAAAGTTCAAGTTCTATCAATTCAATCAATAACAAAACGAAAAACAAATCGAAATGCAGCAGTACTTGATTCACAAAATAATAATTTAAATGTTGGTGATATGGTTACTGTTATTGATGGACCATTTGCAGTAAGAATAAAAAAAAAAGAAATTCTCTTCGAAAATATTTATTTTAGAGTCGACAAGGACAAATAAAACATCTTTATCGTCATTTTGTTTTTATATTTTGTCGTACATTAGCTGAAAATGGTGATATATTTGTACGTAAAGCAAGAAATTTATTATTAGCTGGTGGGCAATCAAAAGTTTCATCAAATCCAATAAATACTGTACCTATGTCACCACTTCATATCACATCACCATCACCACATACATCATGAGGTGGTGGTAGTAGTGCATCAACACATTCAAATAGTCCAGCAAAGTTCCGTTTTGGAATTGCTTTCAGTTCTGATCCTCACGCTGGGGTGTGCGATTATAGATTAATCTCTAAAATAAATCACCAATTCCGGAAATTAGGTCGACGCGGAATTGGATGAAACTGATTCTGCAATGTGCAACATCACGGAATACGATAACTGCTCCAAACTAGACATCCAGGAGAGAGAGAGGATGAGCAAAAACTGGACGTTTCTGGAGGAGAAGAAGAGAGGTGATCAAAAATGCCATTTTTACTGGAACATCATTTATGGATGATCCCTTTCAGAATTCTATAGTTTATTAAGCATTAGTCAATGACGTGGGTTTATATGATATATGTATGGATTTTTTTAATTGCTAAAAATGTAGTAAAATTTATGGAGTGTTAACACTGTCAATGATGACATTAGTAATGCGAGTGAAAATTTACTTAGAAAATAAATCGTATTTTGATTCATTCTTTTACAATATGTTCTATTGTTTTACAATCTTCTGATTTCAGTTAAATCCATGAATAATACATCCCAGAAAGTTGCTCTCCAATGATACTTGTTCTTCAACAGTACTGAATAGAACTTTTATTAGTTCGAAGAACAATGAATAAAAGTGCAAGATCAGATACATAATTTATAGAAAGTATGAAAAAAAACCGAACATTACCACATATTATTTTTATTTTGATAGTATTCGTCAGTATAAAAATCTTGAAATCTTAGAAATCCTTTGAACAATTTTTGTAGTTAAAATCTTTGAAAAATTTCCAAATTTAATAGAAGTTTCTCGTAAAAACATTGAAGGTGTGAACAGTTTAGAAACGCAAACGTTCTCTTATGAAAGGTGCAATGTATTTATTCTATGTTCTTCAAAACACTTCTACTTCTATACTTCCATTTGATAAACTTCAGACAAAAATACAATAGAATTAACCATAAATCTAAAACTAATTTCTAAATTTCGTAAGATTTTAAATTTCTGCACGAGTTTATAACTATTTCAGTCTACTCTTAATTTTTTGAACTAATTTTTAAAGATTTAAAAATATTTTTGAATTTGTCACCAAAAATAACTCATAGCTCACGCTGAAGGGGCCTCCCTCAGAAACGATTTTCCACTTTTGACGGTCTTTTCATGCTGAAATTTTCAGGGATGACTGATCTTGGTGGAGAGATACGCTTCTAGTAAAAATTTCAGCTCGATTGGTCATACTAGACAGAATTTCCAGCTGATTCATGGGTCATTTTTGGCCTTCAGAAGAATTGGTATAACTGCATCATAAGAAGAGGTAGAGAGCTCGAGCTGGTTTCAAATTAAAATACATGTCAGTACGCAACTTCTGTTCGAACAGAATTTTGATATTCCGTCCTATTTATTTTTTATGAGTATTTTAGTGCGAGGGTCTCAAAATTAGCATAAAACATGGTAGTCTAACGACAGTAAATTCCACTTTTCTCAACCCAGGAACCAACTTTCAAAAATCCATTCGGACAAAAGTTTACTCTGATCAAGAACTTTAAAACAAAAAAAAATATTGATGATAGCTCGAAAAATAAGGGAGGAGTTCCAATTTTTCTGATTGGAAATCATGTTCTGAGAAAAACCTTAAAGACGTTTTAGAAGTGGTTTTTTTTCGGTCAAATTCAAAAAACTCATATTAAAATGGCATATTTTCAATAAATTTTCTAAAACTATTTTAAGGCGCGTAAAAGATACAGTAAAACTAACGCCATCTGACATGCGGGTTAATATCTAAATGTTCTATTCAATGATAATTGAAGTAGTAACGGAGTTTTTCCAAAACTGAAAAACTTTAAAAAACCACGAAAATTTCTCGGAAAATATAGTAAAGAAGTTAAAGTCTGATCTGATAAGTCTTTGAAAAACGGATCATTTTCCAAAAATCTATATATATTCTGAAAGAGGAAGCTTCGCTCTATCTTCCTGCGGTAAAAACTCAATTTCGATATTATTTGGAAACAATCGATTTTCTGAGAGGGGGCCCCCCCTTAAGTGAGATTTGAGAGCAAGTATTATTGGAGTACACGTGTTGCAGGAGCAACAGTCTAGGGCGCATCAATAGTGATACTACCTTGATCTTGTTCGATCATTAGAGTTTATGACGTTTATTAGTTAGATATATTTATTTGTTTATTCACATCATAGTATTAGCATTACAATTTTGTTCAATCTAATGGATATTGTACTTTCATTTCGTTCTTATTAGATTAGTTGTATCTCAAAAAAGTTGAAAACTCAATAGAGTTCCTTTTTTTTCTCTATTTGTTTTAGATGAGATATGCTTTTTACTTGTTTTTTTTATACAATAAGATAATTGAACTAGACCTCCACTCGAATCAAGTTCGAGTAGAAAATTTGGCTGATTGCAGAGCCCAAAAAGTATCCGAATATGATCCTAAACGACACCTGCTATTTCTAAACTTAGACTCACATAGAGAAAATCATAATGAATTTCAATTGAGGTTTCTTTTCATTTTTAATAGTCTAGTTAGATGTATCATAGTCGAAAACGGCCTGACACAACAATTATAACCTTTTTGGACATATAAAATGTGAAGAATCACATCATCTTTTAGGAACACTCCACACCGATAAAGGACAACCCATAATAACTGATGATAAACTGTTCATCATATTTTTCATACTTTTTGTTGATGCAGACAGCCAAAAATTTTTATCACATATATATCTAATCAAGATCTTTTATTTCTGAAATTTTCAGCTCTCTAACTAAAACTAATGGTGAAATACAACAAGTTTGCATTCAATTTTTCAAATAATTTGACAGTAAAAATATGCAAAAATCAAGTACGAAACTTCATATATTTCACCATTATTTATAACTAGAGAGCTGAAAATTTCAAAAATAAAAGATCTTGATTAGATATACATGTGATAAAAATTTCAGCTCTTTATATCAACAAAAAGTATGAAAAATATGATTAACAATTTATTATAGAATACTCTTTATGTGCGTGGAGTGTTCCTAAAAAATGATTTGGTTGTTTTAATTATTGTCTCAAACCATTTTCGACCATGATACATCTAACTAGACTATTCAAAGCGAAAAAATAATTTTTTTTTTCACAAAAGTGGTAGAAATCCCATGGATTCATCCTATCTCATAGTTAATTATATTAAAAAGCAAAAAAAAAAAATTATGTGATGATTTCTTTTTTTTCAAATGCGTAAATCAACAATATGAAGAAAAAGAAAAATAATATGTTCGTATATAACTTTTGCATATCAATGTCATAGATCGTTAATTGAATAATCTTTTATCTTAGAATATTCTTCGATTAAATTTCTTTTCTAGTGAATTAATTGTTGATTTATTTTTGTTTTTTATTATCTCTTTGTTTAATTCTTATAAATCAAATATAGAATATTTTAAAATATATCAAATCTATAGAGATTATTTTCATTTAATATCCGCCTCCAAATATATTCAAATAATTTCTAATTAAAAAAAAAGAAGTCTCATGTGTAAATGTCCTTCGACGTATTGAATTTGAAAAATAAAGATAAAGTTCTCATGCGAATACTTGATTGACAAGATCTAATCATGATTGAATCACACAATATCATGTATTGTATATTTAGCGTGCTTTTAAAGTTGATTTCATTAAAAAAAAAACAAGAAGAAGAAGAAGAAGAAGAGTTCTCATATTACAATACATTCAATTCTTGATAAAAGAGAATATCAACAAAAAAAAAAAATATAGATATACAGTAAATTGATTTACTCATTCATCTGTTATTTTTATTCTATACTTTCAAATAGAAATATGGATGCTGATGAATTTCGACAACGAGGTAAAGAACTAATTGATTTTATTGCTGATTATTTAACAAATATTCGAACACGACGTGTTTTTCCAAATGTTAAACCTGGTTATATGCGTCCTATGATTGATGATGAAGCACCAAAACAAGGTGAATCATGGGATAAGATTTTTAATGATATTGAACGAGTTATTATGCCCGGTGTATGTATAATATACACTTCTCGAATTGATTTATTTTTTAAAACCTTTATTATTATTATTATAGATTACACATTGGCAATCTCCTTATATGCATGCATATTTTCCAGCTTTGAATTCCTATCCATCTTTACTTGGAGTATGATACAAATAGAATTTTTTTTTTTTTGTTTTTGTAAATGATTGATTTACTTTGATATTTAGGATATGCTAGCAAATGGTTTAAATCAATTAGGATTTACATGGGTATGTAAAATGAAAAGTTACATATTTGATGAAAATAATCAATCATATTGTGTATATTATTTGAGAAAGATTAATATAGAGTGGATACTTCTTCTATAAAATATAATATTGAACTAAGCTATAGCTGATAGCCAAGCATTTTTTTTTCAATAGGTTCTTTCAAGGTAAAATGAATATTTAGGAAAAATGAAAAGTGTAGTGCTTTGTTGAAGGACAAAAAATATCTTCAAATTTTGTAGGATAACTTCTGATCTACAAATCTATATATGAATAAAGGTCTCAACACTTTGTTTCAAATTTTAATAGTGAAAATACAAAAAATTTTCCGAGTTTTTTGAAGATTATTTTAATACTATCGAACATATACAGAGACAAAATTTCTAAGCCTATATTCAAAACGAGTAGAAAACTCTCGTCCTGATCCATAGCTTTTGATACCTTCAAACGGGTCAAGAGTGAACAAACATATTGTCTAAAAACTTTACGATGATTCTTTATTGTGTATATATGGACAAAATTATGCGTTAGCGACGTGATAGAGTACAAAAAAAATGCTCTTATAATTGAATGAGAAGTTCGAAACGATACAAATTCTTTTTTGAGAATTTTTACGAGGAATTTTTTTTTTGAATTCTATCTTACTGGAAATTTCATCAAAGGTGCAATAAAGAACTCAAGTCAAATGAAAGATGTGTATATTCTGTTGTCTCTAA